CCCCCACCAACCACACACACATAGGCATTGTTTTTTTTCCTTTTTTGAACCATTTGAGAACAAATTGCCAACGCGATGTCCCATATCCCTAGGACTCTGGCACACATTTTAAGAAACAAGGACATTCTGTTACATATCTGCAAATTATCCTACAATGCTATACAAACCATATTCAGATTTTTCCAGTTACCCTAATAATTTCCTTTATAGAAAAAGCAAATCCCGGATCATAAGTTCAAGTTATTTGTCATAGCTCTTTCATGATCTTGACATATTTGCCAATTATGTTATAGACTGCCCCCACAAGCTAGTTTTCTCTGGTAGTTTCTCACAGTTAGACCCAGACTAGGCATTTGGGGAAGGTGTGTGGCATGAATACTGCTGTGTCCTTCTCAGTGCATCATAGCAGAAGGCACATGATGCTGACCCGGTCCATTACTGGGGGTATGAACTTTGATCACTTGGGGAAGGTGGTATCTAGGTTTTTCCACTGTGAAGTTACTGTTTTCTCCTTTGCAATTAATAAGTATCTCATGGGGGAGAAGTTACTTTGAGGCTACATTGCTTTCTGTTACTTATCAAACTTTCACCCACTAGCTTCAGCCCTTTGAGAATCTTGAAAGCTCTTAAGTTCAAGTTGTCTTTTGAGGCTATATGGCATTTATTACAAACCAACTGGTGTAAAGTTAATTTGATCAACAGTTTAAAATTTGACCCGTGAGCCTTTCCTTTTTAACTTATTTTAAGCTAAAACAGCTACTCCTAGTTGAATGCACCATGCTGAAGAGTTTGCAGAGGGAAGTATTAGACAAATGCCTTGAGGTCTACCCTCTACCAGAGAGTGGTCCACGGCCTGGACTTGGGGTTTGTGAAGAAACTGCCAGTAACAGAAGAATCAAACAACAAAACAAAAGCGTGCTTACAATAGAGCTCAGGTTTTCCCCTTTATTTAAAGTTAGTCTAAGTCATTTCCCAAAAATTCATTTATTTAAGTGCATAACTGAAAGGCATTGAAGGTTACTGAGCTATTGAGGTTTAAAATTTTTTCTTAGATGTTATTGTTGAAAAGAGCTAAAAATGGCCTGAGTCATTTCCTTCTTCAGGCACACACTTCCTCTGTGTGGGCTTTTAAGAGCACATTATGGTATTTATTTAAGATTGGTTTCCTAATTTTAAATTCTGTGATGGAATCTACCAGATAATATTTTTCAACTGAATATCTTAGACCTTGGATTCTTATATTTCCCCTCATATTCCATTTTGTGTGGTAATTTTCTTCCTTTATGCCTATTGGTATGGATACCACTTTCAAAAATTGTTGCCCTCAGACTTCTACCTATAAAACAAGATGTTCTAGGTTTCTCCTATTTTCTAACTAATGCCTTTTTTTTTTTTTACTCTCCCCTCTCTTGTAATAACCACCTGTAAATAATGGTGGGTGAGGTGACATTTTGAGATTTTGTTCCATTTGAGCCCTCTTTTCTCAGATAATGAGCATTGTTCTCAGAGAAAAACATTGATCATTGTTTTCATCAACAGATATATTAGAAAGCCAGTATATATGAAACTATGTTATAGATTGTCAGTACAGTATTCTCATTGTACCATGCTCTGTTGATGCAAAGATATGTACAGTATTCTCATTGTACGATGCTCTGTTTGATACAAAGATACAAAGACACAATTCCTACTCACTTAGCATGGCATCTGTTTGAGAGCACTGGGCATATAACACAACACTCGTGTGTATGTGAAAAAAAAAAAACAAACAAAAAAAAACAGGCTACAGAGTAATGTTTGTTGAATGTAGAAGGCTGCGACTTTTCTGGAGGAGCCAGAATATAAACAGAGCCTTAAAGGACCAAAATCAGTAGGAATGAAGATGAGGAGAACATTCTAGGCCAGTGGAACTATGCCACAAAGGGTTGGAGGCAGAGACACAGTGCCGTGCTTCACTGAGACTGAACCAACCAAGCACTGTGAGGTGGAAAGCATTTGGAACAAAGCAGACCCAACTGGAATAGGTGCAATTCATTCTTTACTGCACTCTTTGAAAGACCGTGTGTTCTAGATAAGCTGACCGATGAGTAAATAAGTCAACATTATAGGGGGTGGATCAACAAAAAGGAAAAAAAAAGCAGGTCGATGGAAATTACAAGAGAAGGGGAAAAAAACATTCAGGGATTTGAAGATGTTCTGGGAAATAACAACGGGGTTTTACTTACACTGTGTTTGACACACTTGAAAGTTTGACCTTAATTAGTAAGTGCCGCTTTACTCTCTTTGCTCTGACAGAAGAAAACATTGAAACAATTTGTGCTGCTTGCACACAACTTCATCACGCTTTAGCAGAAGGAAACATGCTTGGAAATAAGTTTAAGAGAAGAAGTATTCTCCTGAAGACCCTATATAAACTAGTTGATATTGGTTCAGACTTGCTCAGCCTTAAACTTGCAAAACTTATTCTAGCAGTAAGTTTTTCTTTCCTCTGGTCTAGTAGACTGTAGCACTTAAAAGTTTTATCTAACGCTTTGTTTGTAAATATTACAAAGAAGATTAGAAATGCAGTGTGTTCATTTAGACGCTTGAAAAGAAATTAAGGTAATAAATTGACATCTCAGAATTTGGGAAGTACTATCTAAGGAACTAAGGCTGAGTACGTGGAAAATGCTCAAATAAACGCTTACATTTGGACTGTGGCTAAGCTTCAAAAAAAGGTGACAATAGGCAAATACATGCAAAACAGCTTGTCAAGTAACTTGAGATCAGTATCGGAGCATGCAGGCTGTGGTTTCTGCCCCATGGTTTCTGCTCGGTGCTTGATTCTGCTACATGATTTAATAAATAACTTAGGATAATGTGGGCCATGGACACAATGGCCAGGTGCTTTATGAACCAGTATGAAACAGAGAAACAGCTGCATGTGGTCATGGGAAGGTGGTAACAGAAGGCTCCCGTGAGGTGTTAGAAGAAAAGGCCAGACACCAAATAAAAGTCTGTAGAAACTCTGTCTCGAACAAAATGATATCATTGTTTGAGGGGAACGCTTTGTTGCCACAGCCATAAACAGTTGGAAACAAAAGATAAGACACAGTTATTATAGAATGTTCTAAAAGAGCCGCTAAAACAAATGAATGAAGCTTTGTTGACCTAGTTTCATAAAAGTGATAGCTATTATGTTAACACCCATAATTCATATAATTTAAAATCTGAAAGTACACAGGGAAGGTAAGCATTGGCATACTTAGAGTTTAGTAAGAGTGCCCGCTGTTCCTTAGTTTGATGTCTTTGATGAAGCAGAATATTCTGACTACGTACTCTATGTAATTTTTTGAAGAAGCTACATTCTTATTCAGCTGTCATCAAAAACTATTCACCCTCTTGTAAAAAAAAAAAAAAACACTGTAATATGTGACTCAGAAAGTAGCATTTCTTTGAAATAGTGATTTCAGCAGTATTTTAATCCCCTCATTGAGGATAACTGGTCAATCAGTTTTAATGAAGCAAAAAGAGCATAAGCCACAGAGATAATTCAAGTCAAAAGTTGTAGGTAGACTATATATGTTAACTAACTGGAATTTAAACATAAGCTTGAAAAAGAAAAGAAAAAGTTGTAGGTAGAGGCAAAAAGATATCTGCCTGCTCTCCCTGTTTCCTCTCTGACCCTGGGTTTGGGGTACTCCCTTGGCCCAGGAGAGCCCCTGTGAGCTGGAAGCCTCTACAGTGTAGCTGCCCCAAGATGCCAGCTGCTGAGGGATTGACTGCCTTTGGTTTTTCATCTGGATCCTAGACGTTTTGCTCCGAACCAAGCCAAAAGCTAGAGAGAGGAGGAGGAAAATGCCACAAATTAATCAGTGCTTTGCCGAGAAAATATCATTTTGGTTATAAAAGGTGCCATTCAAATTAATTATACACATGACACAATTTATTTTAGGGTAAAGGGCTAAGTGATTGCCAGGCAGCGATCGCGTTCTGAACTAAATTTGATTAGATAAGGCTCTCTCTGTGACATTGACTGCCTTGCTGAATCAGAGTCAAGACTGGCTAGGCTGCACTCCAGAGTGCAGAGATGGGCTGGTTGTTCCTTCTGATTAACTATAGAACCAGGTCAGGAGGGACTTCCAAGGCCATCAATCCCAACTTCCCATCTGCTACCTGAATCTCCCCTAATGTTCCAAGCAAGACACTGTTTTGCATGGGCCTTGGTGTTGGAATTCTATGTAAGTTTTAAAAAGGCCACATCATAAAAAGCTGTCGGAAAAGCAAATAATAGTAATAATAAAGATATATGGAACCAAGATGTTTTTAATATCTTCTGTAGTGTCTGCCAATATTTTACCTACCAGTGTAGTGTTACAATTCAGACATTTAAAATTATTTATAGTTAAAAAAAACTTGGTGAGCATAATGTCAGTTTTTCTGATTTCTTGCCTTGTTTTTCTTTTTGGTTAAGTAAGTTGGGGGGTTTGCCAGACAGTGATTTTAATTTTAACCTTTGTGTCAAAAGATCTTTCTGGAGCGCCTGGGTGGCTCAGTCGGTTAAGCATCTGACTTTGACTCAGGTCACAATCTCGAGGTCCGTGAGTTCGAGCCCCGCGTCGGGCTCTGGGCTGATGGCTCAGAGCCTGGAGCCTGCTTCGGATTCTGTGTCTCCCTCTCTCTCTGCCCCTCCCCCGTTCATGCTCTGTCTCTCTCTGTCTCAAAAATAAATAAACGTTAAAAAAAAATTAACAAAAAAAGATCTTTCAAAAATTTATCAGTCTACATTAAGAGATTTTTTAGGGGCACCTGGGTGGCTCAGGTTAAGTGAATTGGTTAAGTGTTTGACTTTGGCTCAGGTCATGATCTCATGGTTTGTGGGTTCGAGCCCTGCATCAGGCTCTGCATTGACAGCACAGAGCCTGCTTGGGATTCTCTCTCTCCCTCTCCCTCTCTCTCTCTCTCTCTCTGCCCCCCCCACCCCCAAAATAAATAAATAAACTTTCAAAAAAATATATTTTTTAGTACAAATGTATACACAATGAATGCAGCTGTATTCAGGAGGGGGGGGAATCTAGTTCTCTGTACAGGGGGGAGAAACAGAAAAAAAAACAAAAACCAAAAAACACCAATATGTCAACAGTGATTATGCATAGTAAGTAGAATTATAAGTGTTTTTAAACTTCTCTTTAGTTTTCCAAATTTGCTTTATAGAGAAAAGACTGCAGTCTTGAATGTAAGAAATAAACTACCCACTGTAAGAACTTCCTTTGTGCCAGGGGCCCTTGACGCTGGGGATACAAGTGAATGAAGTAGCCTCTGCCTTCCTGGCTGGCACTGTGGCAGGAGAGATTCTGCTAAACGCAGAAAATGCGCATTAGTATTGCAGGATGAGTACTGGGGGCCAAGTGCACTGCACAGGAAAGGGGATGGACAGTGTGGGGGAAAGAGCTGTTTCATGTGAGGTTGTCTGCGCTCCTTGCATGCAACTTAAGATTGCTTTTTCATGCCCCATAGTCATAATTTTACAGTGATCAAAAGAGAAGGTATAGGAAGGCGCTTTGAAAGTAATTTGACCTTAGAGCAGACTTGGAAATTGTAGACTGACTGTTTGATTGATTGATTGATTGATTGATTGATTTTTTTAATGAAAACCCTGACATGAGTTGTTGTAATTTTTCCTCTGTCACTTTTCACTAAAAATGTAAGACTTGGGTGGGGGGCGGGGGGTGAGGTTAGTTGTATTCATTCATTCATTCATTCATTCATCAAGTTTTATGTTATGTTATTTTTAAGATTATTTATTTATTTTGAGAGGTGGGGAGGGGCAGGGAGAGAGAGAATCCCAAGTAGTCTCCGCACTGTTAGTGTGGGGCCCCGCGCAGGGCTCCAACTCACCAACCATGAGATCATGACCTGACCGGAAATCAAGAGTCAGACGTTTAACTAAGCCACCGAGGCGCCCCTGTTCAACAAGTTTTATTAAGTACACAACACGTGCTACATATCACAGTGTCATAGGGGACTATTAACTGATTAAAATATATTCCCCTTATTGTGATGAGCACTGGGTGCTGTATATAAGTGATGAATTGGTAAATTCTACACCTGAAACCAATTTTATCAAATTTGTTAACTAACTAGAATTTAATTCAAACCTTAAAATATATTCCCAAATATCAAGGACAATATATATTTCCATTGATTTAGAATTTCTTCCTATTTTCTTTAATCAGTTTATTTTCTCAGTTGTTAATTTTTTAAACACCTAAGCATTAAATTTTTTTGTTTAATTTCCATTTCCTTTTTCCTCCTGAGAACAGAAGGAATCCCCATGCTGCCATGTGTTAACAGTTTGTGAGGCTTCCACAAGGGAGCTTCTCAGACTTGCATGTGCACTGGATCCCTGGGCAGCTTGTTAAAATGCAGATTCTGATTCAGCAGCCGCTGGGTGGGGACTATGAGTCTGCACTTCTAATACTCACCCAGATTCCTCAGGTGCCAGATGGAAATGACAACACCTAAAGTGCAAGGTGGCTCTGAGGTAACAACGTGTGGAGGGGCCCAGTGCAGGGAGGCGCATGGAGGCCACTCTCTGGATAAATGCTTCCATCCCTCTGCCCCTCCGGCACAGGGCTGGCCATGTTCGTCCTTGTGCTGGCCATGTTCGTCCAGTGAACAGCACTGTGCTTGATACACGGTAGTATATCATTAGTATTTGCAGATCAAGCACAGAATGAATCTTTAAAAACATGTCAGACAAATCCCATTATCTTTTTTTTAACGAACTGATGTTGAAGATAATTTTAAGGATACTTTTTAATGATAAAATAATGACCCATATGCCATCCTTTTCACACAGATATTTATTTAGATGACCTCATTCCTACTAACATCTTTTACATTCTTGCAATGAGGGCACATAATATTTCCATTTTGCAGTAGGTTATAAATGTCTTTTTTTAACATTGTGTTCACGGTTACACTTTTTATGACTGCTCAATATGAGTAGTATTGATGTTCCACGGTTTATTAAACTATTTCCTAATATCACTTAGGATGTTTTTTATTTTTAATTTTCACTACTTTAGAGAGACATACAGCTGATTGAGACCATTTGATGTAGTTGGTCCCCCTCTACTGTGCTTATTTGACGTATACTTTATTTCCCCTGTGCTTAATTTACTTGAATATTTTTCTATGATTTAGAAGGTAATTTTAAGCTTTGAACATTACACGCCATTATCTCAAAGCATTACAGGAATAGCCTTAAAAATGAATATATAGGTATTATCAAAGAGTATTGCTTTTTTGGTTTTCTTTTATTTAAATGATAAGAATTGTACTTTCCCCCGTCTAGGTATTCTTTTCTAAGTTAATTCAATCTGAATTTTGGTATCTGTGTTCCTTTACTCTTGTACGTTAAAGCAATCGCCCCATTTAGTTAAGTTTCTCAACATCCTCCCCGCTTTTATCCTCACATACTCTTTAAAAAGTAACTAATAACCACATGTGTAAGGATGAGACTTTATGAACTGAGAAATAAAGGCTTATCATTAAAGCATGCTTACGCTAAAGATCATTTATATTGTATTTACCATAAATGAGTTTATTAAATACTATAGTTGGCAAGTTTGTAGCCTAAACTTAGAATTCTTCTTTACATTTTAAAAATACTCCTACAGCACTTTTAAAATAGATGTGCGTGTTAAAAAATTACGGCGCGTCTTTATTTCCCTCTGCGATAAAAACATAAGTGTTTCCTTTCTCCGCAGCTTAGAGTGAGTAGAAGGAATCTTCTTAATGTCTGCAAACTTATATTCAAAATTAGCAGAAGTGAGAAGAATGACTCTCTGATTGAAAATGACAACATTCTGGGTGAGTATCACTCAGCACCACCACCGAGTGAATGTCGCACTTCAGTGTGAATGAGAAGTTTGGGGAGCAAAGTTCTCACTAATGGTGGCTAGAATATCTTTATTTCTACTAATTACAGAAGTGATGCGATGCCTATTGTTGCTCTGTCTGTCTCTGTGTTTTCCACATTCCTTTGAATGTATCCTCGTTAGCTATTTGTTTTAAATGTCTGTATTAACATCATGTGACTATCAACTGTTGCCTATTTAAAAATTCATCTCCTGGTCTTGGATTGACTGTCAGACAAAATACACTTAATGGCATTTAACATAATTGGAATTTTTGGTCTTTTGATGTAGTAGAAATGACAAAAACTTGGAAGACAAACTGGAAGACAGGTGTTGTAGGCGTTTGACATGAAAGTGTCTCAAATGTGTTTCAAATATGTAGGTAGAGAAATTTTATTGCCCTGTAGCTAGCTACATAATGTTTAAATAGCTAATAATGTTTAAATCTTAAACATTAAATAATTAAGATGCTTCAATAGTTATCTAAATAGAAATCTTTTATGAATTAGTATTGCTGATCTAAGGGAAGGCAGCGGAGTTCTTTTTTTGCAACATAGGATAAATGACCTCTTTTTTTGACCTCAGCAGACAGTTTTTGAGAGAGACAGAGACGGAATGTGGGTGGGTTAGGGGCAGAGAGAGAGGGGGACACAGAATCCGAAGCAGGTTCCAGGATCCGAGCTGTCAGCACAGAGCCTGATGCGGGGCCCGAACTCATGAGCTGTGAGATCATGACCTGAGCCCAAGTCAGATGTTCAACCGACTGAGCCACCCAGGTGCCCCAAGAACATGTTCTTATTTATATATTAATTATCCCATCCTTTTGCTGTCCCTGTTATTACAGAGATTTGTCTTTGCTACATGTAAGCTTTCCTATTTACACCACATGAGTAACCCTTAACAAGCATCTGTATGTAGGTTCTCACTAACATTTTAGAAATTATATTTGGTGTTCACATGCAAGTGCTTTAAAATGTCTCTCTCCAGCTGTTATACATTTGTCATAATTCATCTTCTTGACAGAATCATTATTGGAGGTCCTGAGAAATGAAGACCTGCACACTAACACTGAAGCTTTTTTATACTGTATGGGGGCTATCAAATTCATTTCTGGAAACCCAGGATTTCTCGATGAAATGATCAGCAAAGGTGCTGTGGAAATATTGGTGAATTTGATAAAGCAAATCAATGAGAACACCAGGAAATGTGGCACATGTCTGCCTAACTCAGGCCACTTGTTAGTCCAAGTGAGTATTTTACTTGAAAAGGTTATATGTGTAAAATTAGTTTTTATGTTACCTAACACTAGTTACCTGCCAGGTGTAACAGGTAACAAGGGGGCTGTTACCTAGTCAGGTGGGGGTGCCTGGCCTTGGGGTTCAAGAACAGCAGCCACTGCTCCACCTCTGCCCCCGTGTGTGCCCATTTTTCCTGGAAAGGCCACTTCATGGCTTTTCACCAAACAGCTCTCTGTGTGGCTTTGAAATCCATTTCCGCTACCCTGCAGAGAAAGTAGGCCTGAGACAATAAAAAGTAGCCTCTCTCTGCAAAACAATTGCATGCTATTACCAGAATTTTAACATGCAGAGTTTTAACTTTTAGAGCTTCAAAGACTGAAGATTGTTCATGGTAGCTAATGTCATGGATCTCGTACCTCCAGTAAAAAGCAGAAGTTAACAATACTGGGGTGTGGAGATGACCCACAGGCCTGAGACTATAAGCATGAAGGTTAGCAAAACTAGATCTGTTTAACATGACCAGGGGCAAGAAAAAAGAGATTTGTTCCGTGTTAGTTTTATTACTTCTTTTGTGACAGATTAAATTTCATAGTTAAATTATTTTCATTGGAGCTGCTTCAGCTCTCATGTTCATTTTTAGATGAGATTTTACTTTTTAATAGGATTTGTATATCAGATAATAGCATCTTTGATGTAATACTTCATGAGATTTGAAATGTGCCTGCCAATTAATGAGGATTGATTGAGCACTCAGGGTGCTGGCAGCTTTGGGGAAAGTGTGTTAAAAATTAGATTTGAGGGGCACCTGGGTGGCTCAGTCGGTTAAGCGTCCGACTTCGGCTCAGGTCATGATCTCGCAGTTCGTGAGTTCGAGCCCCGCGTCGGGCTCTGTGCTGACAGCTCAGAGCCTGGAGCCTGCTTCACATTCTGTGTCTCCCTCTCTCTCTGCCCCTTCCCTGCTCATGCTCTGTCTCTGTCTCAAAAATAAATAAACATTAAAAAAAAAAAATTAGATTTGAGCCCTGCCTTAAAGATGCTTAAAGTGTTTGTGATGATCATTAATTTTGGACTTTGTGGTCTGTCTCCATTTTGAAAAAAGATTATGAAAACCCCTTTTAGTCGTGAATGATTCAGAATTATATGGGATGAGCCATCTTTTGTCTAGGGAGGCTTAGAAACGTTATTTTCTTACTGCCAGTGTTATTGAGTTATTCAAAAGTTTTCCTCAATGAAAATAATTACTTTGGTTATATAATTATTATATTTCCTTATTAAAATGCAAAAAAAGTATAAGGAAGAGTGTAAAATTGCCTGAAATGTTTTTACCCTGAGATAATACACCTCCAGCATTTTAGCAAACATTTTCCCATGCATTTTATGTATATATACTTACATATGCATAATTTTATATAATTCTTACGTTTTTATCATGAACCATCTTATTTTTAATAGCTATTCTCACTTATTTTTCCTTATTTTCCATTACCCTCTTCCTTCCTCATTTCTCCTGTTCCAACCAGTTATTGTCCACACTGATGTGCTCAGTACCTTTTAATGCAATCATAGGTTTTCAAAAATGGGATATTCTATGCACTTCTCTGTTCTCATTTAACAATACATTGTAAGAACCCCTTGGAGACTTATTTTACTTTTTTTTAATGACTGCACAATATTCTGTGTTAAGGATGTACCTCAGATTCTGAACTGTTCTCCTTTTGGGATATTCACTCTTTTTA